CCACCTTAGGTGTATGTGGCTTGCGCCTTAGCCATTTGAGCCACAGGCACTGAGCCAGAGGTGAAACTTTCATTCCCACTCTTCAACCTCCAGAGAAGGGAGAAGGCTGAAGGTTAAGCTGATCCATAATGGCCAATGACTCAATCAATCATGTCTACATTAGGATGCTGCTGCTGCTGCTGCTTTTTTCTTTTTTTGTAGAGACAGAGTCTCACTTTATTGCCCTCAGTAGAGTGCCCTGGCATTACCTAGCTCATAGCAACCTCCAACTCCTGAGCTTAGGCAATTCTCTTGACTCAGCCTCCCAAGTAGCTGGAACTACAGGTGCCTGCGACACACCCGTCTATTTTTTTGTTGCAGTTTGGCTGGGGCCGGGTTTCAACCTGCCACCCTCGGTTTATGGGGCCAGTGCCCTACCTACTGGGCCACAGGTGCTGCCCAGGATGCTTCTATAAAAACCCCAAAAGGACGGAGTTCAGAGGGCTTCTGGACAGCTGAGCATGTAGGTAGAAGTTCCTGGAGAGTGGTGCACCCCTTCTCCCATACCCTACCTTAGGCATCTCTTCCATCTGGTGGTTCATCTATATACTTTGTAATATTCTTTATAATAGTAAGTTGGTAAAGTGTTTCCCTGAGTTCTGTGAGCTGTTCTAGCAAATGAAATCAAGCAGAGGAGGGGATCATGGGAACACCAATTTATAGCTGGTTGGTCAGAAACACTGGCATCTGAAGTGGGGGTCTTTTTTTCTTTTATTTTAGACAGAGAGCCTCTAGCTGTCACACTGGGTAGAGTGCCATGGCATCATAGCTCCCACAGCAACCTCTAACTCTTGGGCTCAAGCAATCCTCTTGCCTCAGTTTTACTATTTTTAGTAGGGATGGGGTCTCAAGTTTGGTCAGGCTGGTTTTGTTTTTTTTTAAGAGACAGAGTCTCACTTTGTTGACCTTGGTAGAGTGCCATGGCATCACAGCTCACAGCAACCTCCAGCACTTGGGCTTAGGCGATTCTCCTGCCTCAGCCTCCCGAGTAGCTGGGACTACTGGCGCCTACCACAACACCCAGCTATTTTGTTGTTGTTGCAGTTTGGCTGGGGCTGGGTTCAAACCTGCTATCCTCAGTATATGGGGCCAGTGCCCTACTCACTGAGCCATAGGCGCCACCCAAGCAGGCTGGTCTTGAACTCCTGAGCTCAAACAATCCACATGCCTCGGCCTCTCAAGAGTGCTAGGATTACAGGCATAAGTCACCGCACCCGGCAGGGAGTCAGTCTCTCTCTCTTTTTTTTTTTAAGACAGAGTCTCACTATGTTGTACTTGGTAGAGTGCCATGGCATCACAACTCACATCAACCTCTAACTCTTGGGCTCAAGGGATTCTCTTGCCTCAGCCTCCCAAGTAGCTGGGACTACATGCACCTGCCACAACACCCAGCTATTTTTAGAGATGGGATATCGCTCTTGCTCAGGCTGGTCTCAAACCTATGAATACAGGCAATCCACCTGCCTTGGCCTCCCAAAATGCTAGGCATGAGCCACCACGCCAGGCTATGGCTAATTTTTCCTATTTTGAGTAGAGACAGGCTTTTATTCAGGCTGGTCTCGAATTCCTGAACTCAAGCAATCCACCTGCCTTGGCCTTCAAAAGTGCTAGGATTACAGGTGTGAACCACTGTGCTGGCCAGCAGAAACAATATTTCAATGTGTTAAAAATAATTGCCTCTGGGCGGTGCCTGTGGCTCAGTGAGTAGGGCACTGGCCCCATATACGGAGGGTGGTGGGTTCAAACCCGGTCCCGGCC